GGAAAGTGCTATCAATTAAATGACAATTCACCTCGAATAGTTTGGAACAGGCCACAAAGGATACAAAGCAGGAAACATAAAATACACACATGACAAATAACTCGATGCGATTTATGTGAGTTTCACAACGTAAAAATTAAATCAAAGATACAATTCCAACTGGTATGATGTCACACAAAACAGTGGGACATCAACGGAACTTGCGGGACATTTTATTAAAAACGATTGAAATTTCGATGAACATCTTAATGTGGACATTCTGAAAAAAAATAAGCAGAATCCACCGAACTTGCGACACTTAAAACGTATGGAGATATTTAGGTATGCAATCTACTAACAAAGTCGGAAACAAAATGACAAAAGTGTTCAGTAGGTTTTATACTAAGCTGTTTGATTACTTCCTCATAGTATCTAATGAACTAAGAGAACATTTCAAGATCAGCGCGGTCACGATCATATTAATCACGTTTCAGTTGCATGTCATTCACGCGTTTTATTTGTTTTGACGCATTGATTACCAGTACAGCCGTTTTCTCAAAACAAGCGACGTTTATACAAAGATTTACTATTTTTGTAGATTTTTTTAAATATTTTATACTTGTATACAATTATTAAATATAACTAGAAGAAGGCAGATATACTATCGAAATATTATTGAATATTTTCAAACAACTTTTTCTTATATTCTTCTTTTCTTATGTCGCGTACTTCTCTAAGTGTTGTTAATAGAAGAGTAAGTCAAAAATTACCCTCACATTCTCGAGAATATATCCTTTAAGTTTTGTCCCACTTCCTTCTGCTTTTGTATGATCATAGTTGTGGGCCACGTGAGCGAAGTTTAATCTTGATCGCGCCAATCTCTTGGTTGATCTTACAATAAAAACATGGCCGTTCCACTAGCAGTATGCACCAAGGAGAAACAAAGAACAGTGAACCGATTTCTTTGGTCGGAAGTTGTGGGGCGGGGGCTGAAATTCACCGCTGGCATTTAACACAGTACGGCGACAGTGCACTACCACGTAGAGGCGTGTATATATTGATCGAGAGTTTAAAGGGTCCCCGATAAGTGTGACGGACGAAGAAGGAGCAGGACACCCGTCAGCCTCCACCACAGACGAGAAGATTCAGCAAGCTCGAGAGATGGTAATGGGGACCTGACGGGTTATCATCGTTCAAGTAGCATGTTCTTTGCATATTCGAATCACCGCTCTTTGTTCCGCCTTGGTGCACACAGCAGGCGGAACGGCCATGTTTACACTGTAACAGCAGCTAGAAAACTGAACTCATCAAGCACAAACTTCGATTAAATGACTATAATAATCCCAACTTTGAGCATACATGAGCGAAAAGAGATGTGACAAACATAAAAATATGTTATGGATAAAGTGAGAATAATGTTTAACTTATCCACGTTATAATAATAATGATAATAATAATTATAATAATAATAATAATAATTGGTATGAACACCACCTAGACTGGATTGCAGAGATAGGACCTGTTAAAATTTCATAGGACTACACAATACATGCAGACAGACCAATCAAATCTAACCGCACAGACATTGTTATTAGAGACTGCAAAGAAAAAAAGTGTCTCCTTATTAATATGACATTTCCTACAGACTTCGAAGACCTCCAAAAAGTTATCAAAATAAAAAGACCTTAAAATCGAAATCTCAAAAATATAGCACATGGGAACATCAATAATCCCTGTTGTAGTTGAAGCCCTCGGATTAGTAGGAAAGGATTCCAGTAGACTCATTGACGGGATTCCTGGTAGCCCATGCCTTAAAGAAATCCAAAACTTCTTCTCACAAGTACAGCCCAGACCTTACGAAGGGATTTATCTATGTAAAATATGTGTTTCTTTTATTTTTTTAATTTATTTTGTTTTTTAGTTGGTCAGTGGAAAAAGTTATGATGCCATTTCTAACCTTGATGTTACAATGTAAACATGGCCGCTCCACTAGCAGTATGCATTAAGGAGAAACAAAGAGCAGTGATTAGATTTCTCTGCTCGTAAGGTGTGTTGTGGGGCTGAAATTCTAGAGAAGAAGCAGATCGCCTAAATCATGAAGGCATAGGACACATAGAAGAATATGTTTTGTCTTACATGGGAGAAAGTGAAACACTCTTACACCATCGAAGAAAGAAATGTTTAACTTGTATATGGCACATAGAATAAGAAGAAGAATTGATGTGGCGGTGATTGATAATAAGCACCAACCCTGTCCACAAATAGGACCGACCAATAAAATATCAGACATTTTTCAAGGAGTACTTGGCAAAGCAGAAAACATTTAAGTCTTCTACTTCAAATATTTCTTTCAAATATTGAATGAAACGTCACTTATTATTAACTTTCCAATCTCAGCTGTTTAATAATTGATGTAAAATGATAGCCAAACTAATTACATTAAAACATTATTGTCTTCTATTTTATAAACATGATCTTGATGAGCTCTTCATTCCGCGAACCACATACATTTTATTTGGGCCCCTCCCGTTCTGTTTTCCATGATTAGGGTCCCGCAGTAGAATTTACTTAACAGCACATCTTTCCGTCTTCTAATGTGCGCAATGAACAACATTCATCTAATCCGTTGAGATTTCGTTACAAAATATTAAATCTGCTTAATTATTTTATTCATTCACTTAATTAATTGTTTTTGGTTTGATGTCACGAATACAACCAATGTTCAAGCTGAATAAAATGCATCTCCTTTGATTTGGCACTATATCGCAGACGAAGAATTCTTCGGCCTTCCTTAATCTATCTACTAATTTTTGTTGTTTTTTTCAGGACTGCCTTCTCTTGTTAGCATCTTTACATGCGATATAATCTCTTATGATACACCCACAAACTCACCTCTTACTAGGGAGACGAGTGTTCAAGCAGAACAGAGAAGAAGTAGATCGCCTAAATCATGAAGGCATACGGTACATTGAAGACTAATTTATTTTGTCTTACATTGGAAAAAGGGAGACACGCTCATACCATCTACTGCAGTTAAATATGAGGAGAGCAATGCACGCGTGTCCAAATAGTAATTTTAATGGGATGGGTGAGAAATAACTGCCTATTGAATATAACTTTTGGTAATATCGCCACATATGCATAAAACAAAATATATTTTAATATCTGACATAGTAGCATATCTCTCTATATTTCTGAGATGAGATATTTTAACTATTAACACTATTTACATTGCCATCATCATTATCGGCATAGACTCGACATTTGATAAAAAAAAAACATTATATATATATATATATAAGAAAAATGAAAAAAATGGTTACTATGACAACAGGTTTATACGTCCCCCAAATTCATTCACTGATGTCCCCAAGGAAACATGACCCAGTGGATAAAAGCGTTGGTTTAAGAAATCCAGTTACCGAAAGGGGTTTGAGTTCAATACCTGGCCATACGCGGAGAGTTGCGTTATTAAAGGGAAATAATTGAGATAACTAGAAAAGGCATGTGGTGGGAAACTAGAACAATCTACCCCTGTAGACGAAATAAAAACTTCGCTTCGAAATTCCAAAGTATATCACTTAAAGAAGGCCGAAGCTTACATCATATTGGTCAAGGTCAGTACAGTATTAAAATTATACATCGGCACCAATCTTGTCTATAAATGTTTGTAATTGTCTGGATATGTGGTTCTGCAAAAAGATGTTGTGTATACCATGGGGACAACATGTGATCAACAACAAGGTTTTAGAGAAAATGGAAGCAAAAAGGAAAAATTATACTTAACATCAGGAAAAGGCAGTTGCAATTTCTGGGAGACGTAATGAAGAAGCAGGGAAATTACTAAGATATCCAGAAAAAAAAGCATATCACGTGAAACTAGAACAATCTACCCCAGTACCCTAAATAAAGACTTCACTTCGAAATTCCGAAATATATCACTTAAAGAAGCGATCGAAAGCTTGTGAATATCACAACACTTGAAAAAGTGACCGAAAGCTTGTGAATATCACAACAGTCCGAAAAGTGTAAATATTAGGTTGGTGCAAAAATAATGACGTAATAATGTCGTTTTTTGACATATTTTTTAACGTCAAAAAACGACATTATTACGTCATTATTTTTGCACCAACCTAATAGTAAATAGAATTGCATTGCCAATTTCCGTTTTTATTTCAAAGTGACAAATGTAGCCTAGAATGGCACAAAACCTGATACTGCATGAGCGTATTCGGCTCGAATCCTGTTACAAAGATTGGAATTCTGTGATACAAGTGCAGAGATGACGTGGATTTCATGGACCTCGTGCTTCGGTATATACCTAAACTATCAGAAATTGTAATTCCAAGCTGATAAGTACAGAACCTGTGGTAGATACCGACAGAACCGGTCGTCCTTCAACATCCAAATTAGAAGAAATTGTGCGAAACTTCCTGGAAATGTTCAAGGATATCTTTTTCGTTTATACGCTATGTCCATTCAGGACGTAGGCGATCATACCCCCCCACATCTCACTGTCCCTTTTAGCTCTTAATAAGTTTTGGCTATTTTATTATTTCTCCCAAACTCTATCCAAGCATAGATTTACTGAAGCTCATCATGTATATTAAGCACTGCTTTCCTCTCTCTCTCTCCCTCTCCCTCAATGTCTGAGTATCAGATTTTCCAAACCCTGTTTCTTCATTACGTTCCACAGCAAACACGAAGATAGTGATGCAACACTGTTCATATCACTCATTTGAATTAGCCTTGTCCCAGACCTTAGCTTGTCAGTATCACGATATTTACCAGGACCAAAAGAAGGGCGCGTCATGTTAAAATTTCGTTTCGCAACGTGTTGCATCGCTTCACTTCGGCGTGACAGCTTTTAAAACTATTATATACTTGAACGATTGTCACGCAACGCTGCTGACGTTTAGCAGACTAATGCCGACTCCAACATGTCGATCAAGCGCCGACGGGCGTGATTTCTTCGAATATACAATAAAAGCAACCCGCTGACAAACGAAGGCTAAAAAGTG